GCCAGGTGCTGTGGTGCATGCCTGTAATCCCAGAGGCTCAGGAGACAAAGGCAAGAGGATAGAGAATTCAAGGCCAGCCTCCAGCCTCAGCAATTTAGAAAAACCCTGAGCAACTCAGTGAGACTTTATTTCTGCATAAAATACAAAAAGGGCTGGGGTTGTGGCTCAGTGATAGAGTGCTTGTCTACCATGTGTGAGGCCCTGGGTTTGATTCTCAGCACCACATGTAAATAAATAAAATAAAGGTTCATTAAATGAAAAAAATTTTAAAAAGGAAAAGGGCTGGGGATGTGGTTCAGTCAGTGACTGAGCATCCTTGGTTCAATCCCCAGTACCAAAAAGATTAAAAAATAAAAAGGGGCTGTGGATGTAGCATGGTCTTAGAGCACCCTGGGTTTAATCCCCAGTACCACCAAAAAAAAAAAAAAGTTATTTCTAAGTGAATAAATCATATATGTTGAAGTAAAGACTCATATCCCAGTAGGGCAGACAAACTTATTTGTTGAATTTTAATAGTTTAAAATACAAGCAAAGATTTATCAGATTACAGAAAATTATGGTATTTTAAAAAAGATTTTAGCATTAAAAAATACCTGTAATTTTTAATATTTTTATCTGTTTATGGGTGTTTTATTTCTCTGGGACCCATTATATGAAATTGCTGGGTTGTATAAAAAACTCATTTTAACCAACTGTTTTCCAGAATGGTGGCACCATTTTACATTTCAACCAACAATGTATGAGGAACCCAATATCTGCTCTGCATAATCTTGCCAGCATTTGGTACTCTATTTTTCATTTTAGCTATTCTTTTTGTTGTTTTTACCTTTGTCTTTCTACTATGATCTTTAACAAAGCTTAAGAAAACAAGGGTTGCCAAGCTCCCACATGCCTCTGATCCCAGCTACGCCAAGGTAGAAGACCATGGCAAGTTCGAGACCAGCCCGAACCATTTCAAAATAAAAAAGGAATTAAAAAATGACTGGGATTTAGCTCAGCAGTAAAGCACTTGTTTAGCATGTGCAAGGCCCTGGATATTCCTAGTACCAGTGGGGGGGGGGGGAGAAAACAAGTTATCTCAAAGTATTCAGACATAAACACTATTAAAATAGCAGGGCCTGGTGGCATACACCTGAAAGGGCTAAGGAAAATATTAAAGATCTTCCTTGTCCACGTGCCTGCCAGGACCTTCAAACATCTTTGATGGAACATCTAAAGAATGCTGACTTCCTAGGGGGCTTGGCTGGCTCACTCGGACACTCACTTACCTCAAGGCCACCACTCCCTCCCTTGGAAATCTGGCCAGTACTAGTGGGGATGAAGTGTCCTTGAGGGGATGGGTAGTTGTTAGAATGAAGTTTTCTTTGTTCTAATTTGTATTTAAGAAGCCCCACTGGGGTCTCACCACTGGAGAGGATGCTCTGCTGGGGACTTCCTAGTCAGGAACCTGAAAAGCTGCCCAGGAACTCTCCTGTTCCATGACTTCAGGTGTGTTTCCCACATGCCGGCGATAATACTGTCCTTTCTTTTTCTCTTGCCTATCACTTTCTTTTACCTCTGTATTATTACTAAAATAAATGCCATCTTGTATAAAGAGTATATTTTTATTGTCTTTTGGATCTCACCTGCCAGATTCATCATCTGCACACATAGGATAGCACTTTAATGTTACAACCTGTAATTCCATTAACTTGGGAGGCTGAGGCAGGAGGATTGGAAGTTCAAGGCCAGATTATTTTAGTGAGATCCTGTCTCAAAAAAAATTTTAAAGGGGTAGGGGATGTTGCTCAGTGGTATAGTATCCCTGGGTTCAATCTCTATCACAAAAAAAGTATAGTATCACAAAAAAATTAAATCTTTTATATAAAAATAATAAATTTTAACCTCCTATATTGCCAGATTATGAAACTTATTACCTGTCAACCACCTGCTTATGAACCTCTTTCCAATGTTCCTTATCTGCATCAGTGCCTAAATCTGGGTGCAGATTCTTCAAGGAGACACCAGCAACATTCACTCCACTCCATACAGGCACTAAAAGAAATTGTACAGCACAATTATTTTTATGCATCAAGATCCTATTTTTAATTCTCCTATCTGCTGAAGGGTTAGATTACACACAAATGGTCAAAATCAATGTCCTTACTATTAGATTTTCATTTATTTAGATTACAACAAAAATTATATATTTCAATCCATTTCCCTCATTTGTTGGAATGTTTAGTTCATATATTTGAAATATAAAGATGGCACACAAACATAAGGGAAATTTTATTGACATAAGGAACTCAGAACTCTGCACAGTACCAAAATATTTTCTTGAACTCCACTTGGGGTGGCTGACCTTTTCAGGGATAAGCAGTTCAAGTCAAGTATAAATGACTAAAGTTATCATAAGAACTATGGTTTTCACATGTTGGGGATTATGGGATATACAAGGATAAAGTGTGTGATAAGCATACATGAGGACCTAGGTTCGATTCTGAAGAAATAACAAGTCTAGTTATTTACTTCCATAGAAGTAAAATTTCATTCTGTTCTCCTTGCCAAAAAATGTCATATAAAATGGCTAAAATCTTAACTCTTAGCATATAATTATATAAATGGTAGTTTCCAGGAAACCTGTCTATCCTGATTAAGGGATACTTGACTTAGGGTCTAATTTAATAATAAAAATACCTGTATTTTTTAATGCAGTCTTTTTGTAAATAAAAGCAGAAAATAACTCATGCTTACCACTAGAGTCTCCATGCTCCCCAAGGACCCACCCATGACAGCTTAATGGGTGAACTCCCAGCCTTTCCCCCATCAGGTAACGGAATCGTGCTGAATCCAGATTGCAACCACTTCCAATAACACGGTTTTTGGGAAAGCCACTTATCTTCCAAGCCACATAGGTCAAGATATCCACTGTGAAGACAACATTCAGGCAAAGACATTAGGTAATTCATTAGATAATGATTAGCCACTACAGATATATGGTTCTATATGGATCTTGATACTGCTCATGACTAATTGATATTTTTGTTAATATTTTGAAGTCTCTGTACTACATATCAAATCTACCAAGCAGTCAAGTATTATTTTATGAGAATAAACTGCACCAATTAAGAGAATACAATTATTCATAAACTTATTCCATATATAAGATCTTGGGTAAATAACTGCTTTTATGTTCCAACTATGTTCAGAGGCATTCTGTCCCTTTAATGTTTTATCCCTTTAATGTTTTATAATAACTATTTTACAAAAACACTCTCAGGAGGGAAATGCAACAAGAAATAAATTAATATATACATGCATATAGAATATAACATACTATCAATTTTACTATAGCTCATGTTTTATGCTGTTAAGTCTCACCTGGATTGGAAACAATAAGCAACTTGCAATGTGGGCTGTATTTTACAACATTGGGAATGATGAACTTGAAGATGTTCACATTACGCTGGACCAAATTAAGACGGCTTTCTCCCTCTTGCTGACGTGCCCCAGCTGTGATAATGACGAGCTTGGAGTTTGCAGTCACATTATAGTCTAAAAAACAAAAAAAAAAAACGATCAGATGAATACCTTTAAGAGAACTGTTAACTAGCCACCAAAATTTGTTCCTCTTTTTAGTACTAAGGATCAAACCCAGGGCCTCACACACATGTAGCAAGTACTCTGCTGTTGGACTGCACCCCCAGTCCCTCTCTTTTTCTTCAGGTTGGAGACAGGGTCTCCCTAAATTGCCCTTACAGGCCTTAAACTTTTATTCCTCCTGCCTCAGCCTGTAGAATCACTGAGATCACAGTATTATCACTACACCTGGCTTCTGTAATTTTATGCAGGTTTTATATATATGGCAGATAAATGCCCCCACTGCCTCCTAGACATTTCCCTTTGTTTTCAGGTTTTCTATTTTTTATGTCAGATGGGTAATGCACTGATATTCTAACAACATTTAGAGAAAGGCATATTTCACCCAACGCAAAACCCAATCATCACACTTTTGAACTGAAAACGACCAGTGTATACCTTCCTTGTAGTGTAGTTTTAGTTACATTATAACTTTATATAACTACGACTGAGAGAAACAGGAAGAAATCAAGTTTATGATTCTCATATATCAACTTCTCAGATATCCCCAATTCTTCCCCTTCGTTCAATGTTCTTATTCTTCATTGCTCCTAAGTTTACTTAACTACTTGATTACTAACAAAGGCAGAGATGCCTTTACACTTAACGAACATATTTTGCTTCTAGATACCCGAAGGCACAAGATGATTAACTCTAGGAGTTGCTAAGGACTTTCAAGTACCAAAAGACACTATTTGGGCCCAAATCCCATTTCCCAAGCTGGTGCTAGTTAAGTGTGAAAGGGTCAAGTAAAAAATATCTGAACAGGCTCATTTATTCTGATCTCAACCTTGTGTTACTGTGTGAAAGGAAGTGGGGGAATAAGAACAATTAAATATCTGATAGCCAGGGGTGTAGCTCAGTGATAGAGTACTTGCCAAGCATATGCAAGGCCTAGGTTAAATGCTCCAACACCACAAAAGAAAAAAAGTTTTTAAAGCAATGTGGTTAAATATGCACCTAAAGATTGAAACTTTATTCATTACATTCTAGTTCAGATGGTTTCCACATATTACACTAATTGGATTTCCATTTTAAACCATTTAGTATAGATTGAACTTTGATATCCATAGGTACCAATGTAAATATATTTTAAGACTCTCCTATCCTGTATGAAAAAGAAATGCTTCTAAGAGCTAGGACTTTGAGATGAATAAAAATATTTAGATCTGCTTTTTTCTGATTTATCCAAGGTTGCCTGCTCTTGAAGACTGTTAAGAGGGACTGCAGCCATGCAACCAAAACCCTCAACAAAGGCATCTCCAAGTTCCCTGTGATGGCTGCAGATGCTGAATCCCTAGAGATCACCCTGGACATCTTGCTATTATGATGAAGACAAGAATGTGCCCTGTATGTTTGTGTGCTCCAAGTGGGCCCTAAGCAGACCTGTGAGGTCTCCAGGCTTGTCATCGTGTGTTCTGTCACCATCAAAGAAGTCTCTCAACTGAAGCTGCAGATCCAGTCCATTCAGCAGTCTATTGAAAGTCTCTTAGTCTAAGCCTGCGGCTTCTGCCCTGCTCTCCCCACCAACCTCTCCAACCCCAGGTTTTGTATCATATTGTCTATCTTAGCATGTAGTCAGTAGCTTTCTATTATAAAATATTGTACAAAAAGAAAGTTTACTTCTAATGTGGACTATAATATAAAACTTGTTGAAATCAACCTTTGCCAGAGACAATTTTTGGTGTTCTAAGGAAAAGGCTGCCATGCTGGAGATCCATCATCTCTCCCTTCAATTTATCTTCCATGACATCAACAAGAGCAAGTTCATCTGCCAAGTCCTAAAAGACATAAAATTTTTAGTTAAATGGGAGACTGTCATCTCAAGATTTTTGGAATGAAAAATTTCTCTTAATTCTGACACAGGAGAGTTCTGCTACTTTTGTATCAGTGTTAGTGTCAGGATATACTTCAAAGTAGAGGCAGACTGCCATTTTTTTAAGCTGATTCACAGATGGTCTATACATAGCACTATCTCCCCTCTGAACCAACCTCTGCAGAAGTGCTACCACTGCTGGTATGGAAATGGAACAATCAATAGTCATAAAACTTCAACAACTTCCAATAACACTGCTTTCTAATTATAAAAAACTTGCTTTATTTTCTATCCCAAATTCAGTTTTACGTTGAATTTGCTAGTCATTAAATAGGTGATATGGACTAGTATCAACATTTGGTGCACACTTGTATTCCTAGAAGTTTGGAAGGCTGGGAGGCTGAGAGGCTGAGGCAGAAGGATCACAAGTTCAAAGCCAGTCTCAGCAACTTAGCAAAGCAACTTAGCGAGACCTTGTCTCAAAATAAAAACAAAAAATGGCTGGGAATGTGGCTCAGTGGTAAAGTGCCCCTGGGTTCAATCCTTGGTCCCCTCTTACCACCACCACAAAAAAAAGTGATAGTCTTGAGTAATTCTCTGGTTGTTTTTCATATTTGAACCAATACTTACAGTTTTGCACAAAGATAAGACTTGTGCCTTGCATAATATTGGTAAAAAGCATCCTTACAATTGAACCTATAAAAATTCATAGGTGCATCTTAGACCAGGAACACCAACAACAGTTACCTTCAAGTGGTCAGTGGGTACTCTTACCCATACCTGAATCAGAGGCCAAAAAAAAGACCACAGGTGGTTCATACATATAGGGAAAACAGCATCAATTTCTGAACAAGTGGGTAAGGAATAAAAGTTGGTGTGTTATGTGGCTTCTTCTAAGAACAAATACAGAGGGGCTGGGGTTGTAGCTCAGCGGTAGAGTGCTCGCCTAGCATGTGTGTGTGAGGGCTTGAGTTTGATCCTCAGCACCACATAAAAACAAATAAATTAAGGTATTGTGTCCAACTACATCTAAAAAAAAAAAAATTTTTTTTTAAAGCATACAGAGTGTGCTTTGCTATTATAAGATCTCTGCACAGCTCATTTCTGCCTCCAGTCCCTTCTTCCTTCAATCCATTAATGTTCAAAATACAGAAGTCATATTTCACTTTTATAAACCTGAAGTATTTTAATATTGAATGAAAGGTGCTGCAATTATTTTTTTTATAAATCAGGTTTGAACACTGTAAAGTGTGTTCTTTACTCACAAATTCTTTTTCTAATTTTTAGTCCCATAATTGATAACAAAATTGTTAAAGAAAGGTGATGGTATGGTGGTGTTTCCCATGTGATTCTCCTTTGCTAGCAAGGCAATAAACCTTCTTTTTCCTTTTTCTCAAAACCATGTCCTTGTTATTAAGATTGGCATCAGGGACAAGGACCAAGCTTTTAGCAATACACTCTCTCCCTAAGAGTGTCCTTTTTCCTTTTTCTATCCCTATCTCTTCTAATAAACTCATGCCTGTTAAAAAAAATTAAAAAAAAAAAATTCCCATAGGATGATTTTAATTTTACCATATGCAACTGTTATTTTCAATTCAAAAATTACATTAAGAGAGTCTGACTCATTTAAAGGCATAAACTCTTCCTTTCATTTGGATATATAATGAATTCTAGAAAATGTAACCTCTGACACTTTTTATTTCAGATAACGCTGTTGATACCTCACCATGTTTCAAAGGTTGTTTCACATTAAGTTCCTTGAATCAGTGCATGAACCTTCATATTTTAATGTACACTGTGACATTATTGGGGAGGGTGGAGGACAGGATGGAGCCAAGGCATCTGCTTCCAGAGTGATGGACTCTCACTTACCTTCATTAAGATACTGATGGCACAGGCCATGCCAACAGCACCAACCCCAACAACTGTAATCTTATTCTGGGGGACCTGTTCTTCCTTAAGAAGATTCACAATCAGCTGATCCTTGAGACTTGCCATCTTGGACTTGGAACCAAAAGGAATCTATAGGGGAGAAACAATGTCACTGCATCCTCTTGAAATATTGTTTACTTACCAAGAGCTGTTCTTGAAAAAGGCTTACTTTACTTTCTTTTGGGAATTTGCCACTGAAATTCACAAGAGATGACTAAAAATGGAGAAGGAACAACCTAAAGGTGGCAAAAAGAGTTTAAATGTCTAATGCCAGGGTTTGGTCTGACCAGGATCTGATGTGAAGGACCTCACCTTGGCATGAAAAAATAATATCGAAGTTTGGGTGTAAGTATAGCCTCCTGAGGGATCACTCATCTTGGCTTATTAGCCCTTAGAAGGGTAGGCCGCTCTTCAGACAAAATCAGTGAGCCACCCACACTGGGCAGCTATCTTTCGGCCACTCAGGAACCTAAAGCAAGTACAGTGCAAAGCCCCAACTAAGGACCAAAAGTACAAGCAGAAATCGCCACTAACGGCCACAAGCACAACCCAAAAGCAAAGGAACGTGCTGTGAGGTCGGCGCCTGCGCACACTGCACACTTGCTTGCTTTCCTCCCCTTGTGCCACAAGGGTTTACGCCCCGCCCAGATCCGGAAGATCCCGACACAGAAAACTTGTGCAAGTGCGCATGCGCTTTTGCTTTACGGAGGTTTAGGCGTAGGGTAGAGAAAGCAGCAACTTGGTGGCAGTGTGCCATTAATAGGCAGTAGGCTGGATCGTGGACGCTGGGTGGTGGAGTGGGTAAGCCCCAACGGCCCAGCCCTCAAGTAAGTGTAGGCTATCTGCAACCATCCACTGTGTGGGTCAGAGGGAGCATGCTCCAGTCAGACTTTAGACCTTACTAATGCCCTGAAGCACATGTGAACAACGTGAAGCTGGGTTGGCAGCCTCCCTGGCCTGGCGGGTTACCCAGTCACACTTCAAATCACAATACCAGGGACTAGCGTCTGTTAACCAAGCAGGAAGGAGGAGCCACGTGTAGCTTCAGCCGTGGTCCTGTTGCAAAGTCATGAGGCCCGGTATGAGGAAATTTTGTCAGCACAGGAAGTGCAGAAATGGCTGCAGAGGGTTTGAAGCCCTAAAGTTAACAGGTACTTGGTGGAACCCTTGAATTCCAGAGCTTGGGGAGGGAATCTTCTACTCTGCCCATCCAACCCTGCACTGCACTCACTGGAGGGAATCACATGTTACATCCCCCCAAACACCACGCCTAGTTTTGACTCGGTCCTAAAGGGCAAAAATATCAGACAGTATCTCTAGGCAGGCAGCCCAGAGTCACCAAGATGGAATCGGGTCTCAAATCACTGCTATTTCTAGATAGCCTTGCATGGTTTCTGCAACTTATTGGCTAAAGGGAGGAATTCTCCTGCAAAGAACTGGCCTCACTGAAACCTTCAGTCTTCTGCTCCACAGGTTCCTTTTATGGTAGGGGCAAGACTGTGTCTAGGGGCAGAAGCCTTGCAGAACGAGGATCTACCCTCCCCACCTCTGCCACTCACTCACTGTGACCTTAGAGATGCCCTCTCTCCCAACTCTAGGTTTTCCCCTTTGCCAAAAAGAGATGGTACACGCGATACTATTCTTGATAGACCCGTCTGAGGTGCAGAAGTACTGCAACTCTGCCTGCTTCATCTTTGCACGCACCTTGTTTAGTACAGCCTCTGATCCCCCAGCAACTTAATAAATATCACTTACGAAAAGAGCACCTTATAGTCTAAAGGCGTCAGCAATCCCCAGACTCCACCTCTCCAGCGTCCCAGGGCAAAAATTCAAATCGCACAGCACTCAGGGTTTCTCCGGCATCCAGGAACCCTTCCCCAGACGTACTAAGGCTTTAGGGATAGCCTGAGCTCCCAAAACCGAACCACAAGTTTTGCGTTGTTCGCTAACTTCAAACCCGAAGGCATCCTCCACCCTCAGATCTATGATCTCCTGTCCTTCCTCATCCACCCGGAATATCAACCCTGGGTTGGGTGGCGTCACTCGCTCGGCCCCCCAGCGAGGCCAGAGGCCAGAGATGCCGCTTAGGGCAAAATCCTAGAGTGGTGGACGCCAAGCCCATGCATGGTAGGCCACCGCCCACGTCTTCTGGGAAGCGGCGCCTCTCCCCGACAGCAGGGACCCCCTTGCGGGCAGCCCGGGCCAGAGGAGCCATAAGCAGTTGCCCTCCCTCCCCTCCGGGTGCAGAGTACTCGGGGTTGACCGTACCGGGAGTGCACGTTGAGAAGGCGTCGGGGGCGCGCAGCAATAGAATCCGCACTCTGCAGCAGAGTCTCCGGCACTCAAGGCTGGGCGCGGGAGGGGCCTTAAATGGAACCTCGAAGCTGACGTCAGGAGTGGAGCCAGGCGGACGTGCGGGAACCCACGTGTGGGTTGGGCTGGGGGCGGGCGCCCAGCCGGGCGGGGCAATGGAGAGGCCCAGGCGGCGCGCGCAGCCGGACAGCGGACCCGCGGGCCGAACCACGTGCGCCGGGACATCTAAGGGAGTGCCCAAAGCCCCACGCTGCCCCTCCGGCCATGGGAGCCCGGGCGATATCCGTGAACCAGAGTCAGGCAGACCCTCAGCTTCCTCTTCCGTAAAATTTGCACGTTACTCTCAAGAAATCCCTGATCTATTTCTTCATCGCTGTTTCCAAATGCCTGGGACAGCTTCTGGCGCTCCATAAACATTTGTTGAATGAAAGAAGGAAAATACCTAGCACAGCGTCAGTTTGTCCGACTGATGGAAAAGGACGTCTCCTTTTCCCCTACTGCCAAACCTTCCAAGTCCGAAACTCACAAGGGAGACTTTGCCTTTCTGGTCTTGCAGGGTGATTGAGGTCAAATTTTCCTTCTTGTCTGCATCTTCCCATTG